AAAATATTTCAGATAATGAAAGATCGGTAAATGAACGGAGATACAAAACCAACAACACCTCAAGTCTGTTTTTATGATAGATATCTTTTGTGAACGTGATTAATGTATTTCTTCAGGCAATCTGCGGATATCGATCGAGATAAGCTATCATGAATTTGTCGTACCATTGGAAAAATGGTCAAAATAAACTTTATCCCAATACTTTATTCTTTCATGAAAATAGTTAAGATAGAAGCTAAAATGAAAATAACGCTTACATCTTCTCCGTACGGGCCTTGACGCTGTCGGTATCATTATCATTTTAACTTATTTCGCCCCTTCGCCCCATGAAAATCTTGTCATCTCGTTTCCATTCTAACACTAATCTTAATTGGTCGCCATTCTTATATAAAAGAATTCTTGACTTTCGTCAGCTATGATCCTTATTTCTAACGTACCCAAGACTGGTCCATTTTTACAATTGAGCTATGCTTAATCCGGTCAAGATACGGCAAAGCTAAAGCTAGGTCTACGTCGCTAACATCATCATGAGTTTACGTTGATAAATTTAACATTTAGTCCTCATGTATCTTGACCACGGTTAGGATACGCTAGGACTTAGCTTATCCTTTCCTTGGGTTAGTTGGAAATTGATTAAAGTTTGGAATCAAATTGAGTTTTATTGAATTTTGATAACTAAATAAATTCTCTCATTAAAGTAATACATTGGATCATCCTAAGATGGTCATTTTTTTGCGGATCATAGGGGCCAGTTTGCTTCAGCGATCCATCAAATTGACCAATCAAACTGGTCGGTATGCTCCGCAAATATACGACCACCTTAGGATACGCTAGGACTGAGAGTGGGGATTTCTGTCGTCCATTATAGACTTGTGCCTCTCTGCTGAATAAATGTGATCCAGAAAATAAAAAGTGTTTAATGCACTTCTTGTTGTGGGTATCCGCTATATACTATATGTATACTGACACTGGATTTTTGCATCTCTCGTTTAACGTAAAATGAAAATAACAAAATCGCACATTTTTAATCATATCACATACACGTGTTTGCCGTATAACGTACATCAGTTTTCAGAATAATCATTACATTATATTACTTTTACATCATAAAATATTATGTGCTTACTTTTTTCGTAGATAAATTTTGTTCTGTCGTATTTCTAATACTTCCAATACAGTGCATGCGCGTAGCTTTCTTTGTTATATTTTCTTTCTTCAAACTGAATACTTCTGAAAAACGTCTATGTTTCTTATAAAACTTTAATATTCTTTTTTGATTTTTGTTTCCTTCTGTCAGTTGGAAGGATAATCAAACAAATAACGATATTATTTGTGATACAAAATCAGTTATAAATATGATCCTGACTTTATTCAGAATCCTCTTGTATGTTTACATGGCTGACGTGCACGACCCCTCCTCCCCCCCAAATCCCCGATTTTTCCCAGCTAAAATTTTTTTTTCTTGCATTCTTTGAAAAAAAATTATTTTCTCAGTGGAGCACCCCTCTCCAAAGCTTGCACGTCTTATCTCTATCAGCGTTTTCTTATCTAATCAGCGTTTTCGTAAACTTAAACGTCGTTACACTTCTCTTAACCTTGCTGAGTTCCGTAAAGCAAGAAATCTTGTTCTTTCTATCGTCGTGAAAAATCTTCTTACTTCCGATCCCTCTCTTCTTTATTTTCTGATCCTCGCAAGTTTTGAAGCTCTATCAAGAAACTATCCTCTTCTCACTCCACTTTACCTCAGTCTTTGTTTCTAGACTCCAAAATTGTTTCTACAGATGCGGATCAAGCTGAACTTTTCAATTCTCATTTTTCCTCTTGTTATTCTTCTCTTCAGGGGCAAATTCCTCCCTCTGCCACTCCAGACTTGCCAATGATGGATAAACACCTCGACTTTTCCATACGAGATGTTGAGCGTTTATTTCAGAAATTGGATAAAAAGTCTTCGGTTGGTATAGATGGAATCCCTTCTTCCTTCCTTTCTACTAGCAATTTTCCAACTTTATGGAAAACTGCATTCATTGTACCTGTTCATAAGAAAGGCGCTCTTGCCGATATTTCTAACTATCGCCCTATTTCGCTTCTTCCTGTTGTTTCTAAAGTGTTTGAACGACTAATTTATAATTTTATTTTTTCTCATCTCTCTAAACACTTTTTTTGTAAATAAACAGTTCGGTTTTCGCCCTAAACATTCTACTCTGGATGCTTTGTTGTTTTTATCTTCAACCGTTTTTAACTTTTGGAATGCAGGTGTAAAGCGTGTTGGTGTGTCTTTTGATTTTTCTGAAGCATTTGACTCTGTTCCTCATTCTCTCTTGTTAGAAAAAATTATCTCGTTGTGGTGTGCGTGAGTCCTTGTTGTCTCTTCTATCTTCTTATCTTTCGAACCGTTCTCAGTGCGTGCGTGTGAATGATTCTGTCTCTTCTCCTTCTTCTGTTCCTTCTGGTATTCCTCAAGGCAGTGTGCTTGGTCCTCGTTTATTTCTTATTTTTATTAATGATCTACCTCTGTCACTTCCACCTAATTGTGAAATCTGTCTCTTTGCTGATGATGTTTTTTTGATTGTTCCTCTTTCCTCTACTGATTCTTCTAATTTTTCTCATGTTCAAAACTGTATAAACCGTGTTTCTCACTGGTCTTCTTCCAATCTCATGTCTTTAAGCGCTTCTAAATGTTATTGGCTTCCTTTCTCTTTCAACATATTTCCGTACATTTATAATCAATTGTATCTCAATGGTGTTCCTCTTTCTGTTGTGTCTTCTGTGCGTTGTCTTGGTGTTCTTGTTTCGCACGATCTTAGGTGGAACGATCATACCTAGGACATTGCTCTTGCTTGTCAGCCCAAGCTCGGAGCATTGAATCATGTTTTTGGATTAGCTCCAACTGAAATTCGGCGTCGAATCTATCTTTCTTCTATTCTTCTTAAAATCGACTATTGCTGTGCCTTGTACGACAGTTCGTTTTCTCTTACTGTTCTTGATTCTGTAAACAAACTCGCTTCTCGTGTTATCTCTCGCAATTTTGATTACCGTTCTTCTAGTTCTCTACTTGTGTCTCATCTTTCTCTTCCAAATCTCTCTCTTCGTCGTAAATACTTTAGACTTTTACAGTTTTTCAAAATTTATCATCGTCTAAGTCCTGTTTCTCTCTTTTACACTATTCATCGTCCTCACTACTCATCTTTACGTCTTCATCACTCTAAATATGTTCGTCTTCCACCTTCTGTTGATGGTTTTTCTCCACAAACGGTGCATTCTTCATTTTTTTATTCAACTATTGCTGATTGGAATAATCTTCCAGAGTCAGTTATTTGTCTTTCTTCTTTTATGTCTTTGAAAACAGCTTTACTTCAGTATCTCTTCTAGTGAAACGCTTGTCAGTTAAGCATTTATGCTTGTTCTTTTTGCATGTTTTTTGTTTCTTTTTTTTTAAAAAATTTTTGTTTTCTTTTACTACTTCTGCTTCTAATCTTAGTTGTCTTCTTTATTTTGTTATTTCTTTATTACTATTTTGGTGTTGTTTGGCTTGAGTCATTGTTATTACAGGTCGGTGACCTTTGATGACTCTCATTTTTCGTGAATAAACAATCTTAGTCTTGGTCTTAGTCCCCTCGCAAATCGTACATTCTATGTTTCAACATAATACTTTATCTACCTTCCGATCACCAGTAATGCTACACCACCAGTTCAAGTTATTCTTGACTAAATATCCACAGCTAGATCACGAAGACATTTTTCTATTGTTTTACATAGCATTCAAATGGTTTGGACTCAACTGAGATACAACTCATATTTTAATCAAGTATCTCAGTTGAGAAAGCAATATTTGTGTGAAAGTGTTCGTTTCTCAACTGAGATACGATTTTGACACGCGCGTTGAAACGTGTAATTGTGCAAGAGTGTACAAAGGTCTAGTATTCAATAGTGAATGAAATGAAATTAGGTATATGATGTATCTCTCTCCTGACTATCTAAGTATGCAAAATGGCGTGAAAGTCCCTGTAATTCTTCTAGATTTTGTAAAACTATTGAATAACAGACTTTTGTACAATTACACGTTTCAACGCACATGTCAAAATTGTATTATTGTTGTAAAATTGTATCTCAGTTGAGAAATTCGCGAAGTCCATATTTTATCAAATGTATCTCAGCTGAGAAACGAATATTTTCGCAGAAATATTGGTTTCTCAACTGAGATACTTGATTAAAATATGAATTGTATCTCAGTTGAGACGTTACGATTCAAATAACTACTCTTAGATGAACCGAAAGAAGCTTGAAGTTTTGTGCATTTTACTTCATTTTTGAACTTTTCACGTTGATTACTTCTACTGATCCGTTCCTTCCTTCTATCAAGAAACTTTTTAGATAATTTGTGTATAGTTCTTCATGTGGATGAAAAACCGAAGAGAAATTTGTCCGGATTTTATCGGATTCCTGCTAAAAGATTGCATAGAAGTGTGAAAACAGGATTTTGTATACAACCTGCCCAAAACTCTACAAAATTCTATAAAGTTTTATTGTAGGATTTTACAAAAACCTATTAGATGATAGGATCCTGATAGGACTTTTCGACTTAGACATTGATACACCATTTTGTTTTGTCAATTTCTGTCTATATTATAACACCACAGTATACTTCTAATATTTCGAATGTCTTTCTGACTTCATCTTTTCCTTCTCATAAGAGAAGTGCCGAGACAATGCTGCGTAATTTTGACATGTCAATGTGGTACTGATTAGTGCCGCACTCTAATACAAAATTCATTATAGACACCCATAATAAAAAACTAATTAAATTGGTTAAATAAATTTCAGTACGGTACCGATTTTCACCAGTGGGGCCCTTTTTTGGCAGAAATATATCAGCACTAGCTGGACACGGGTGCGTATCGGTGCCAGCCAGTGCCAGTGACCAATTACATGCCATGTGCATCGGTGCTCACTGGTAGTGCCGCGCTGGTATTTATTTTATAGGGTGTCCAGTGTTTGAACACCTAATATGTGAGAATAAGTTGTTGCATTTTGAAGAGTCGAAATAATAACGGTACATAACGACAAATGACTTCCGATGACATAATTTTGTTCAACAGCTCATCTGTATCAATCGATGGACTTCGGTACAATTCGTATAAAATTAAGCCACCGAAAAACTGATTAAGCCCTATAGAATAATAAAATGATAAATAATAGATTTGCCTTTCTAACTGACACAATTTATATATTAGTTTTTTCATCGATTTCGAGTATTTATCATTTCTATTGGCTAGATTATCTAAAATATTGCTGACAAAATATATTTTGGATGTTGTCGCTTCGAATACGATGATGATATTTTTATCATTATCATTTAGACTGTTGTCAAATGTCACATGCGATGACCGATTACAATATTGAATATTTGTTGTAAATTTCGTCGGAGATGTAATTATTTTCATTTTCTTTTGTTTATTCATTTTGTCTAGTTTACCAAAACCAAGTAAATTGTATTCAATTGAACTGGGACGAAGTGAAAGAGACAACCATTCTTTAATACTATTCCATCGATAACTATAATCGTTCTCCATATAGAATGCAACAAAACGAAAAAACAAACGCATATTCTCTGATTCAAACGACGACAAAATTCGTGTATCCAATCGTCGGACATCAATCAAATACATGTCATTCAACAATTTTATGATTGTTGGCATTGATTGTCTTCCATATAAATATGATAACCCTTGATCGACAGAAGATAATCTGGTAGTGACATTTTCTAACTAAAGTAAAGTATTTAAACATCATATAACAGTTAAAAACGAAAAAGTCACTCACTTTATCCCAAATTAATCGTTGATAATTAAGCATTGAGCGCTCATAATAACTAAGCTTTTTCTCTTCATTTTTGTCAATGACGACATTAACAGGTTCTATCCATTTCAGTACTGCTTCGTCATCGTCGTCTTCTAATTCGTCTTGGATAAAGTGATCACTCGATAATCTCATGATATTTTCGAATGATATTCCACAATTTTTATCATCATCTAGATCAATAATAGAACTAGTTTGGATGACTGATAATGGTAAAACCGTTTCATCCGTTGTCAGCTCCGTTAGTCCTCTCGCTGGAAGCGATGATGATGATTGCTGTGCTGTTTCTGATGTTTTCGGTTCGACAAACATTGTTTGTAATAAATGTTGCTTTCGTAACACAGATGTTTCGATTTTTGAGGTTTCCCATTTCACTAGTATAACTTTACCGAATTCTTCATCTTTCTCTTCTAAAACTTTCAAATCATAATCACCATATCTTCCTGGATTGTCTTTGTCAAAATAAAGTGTTCGGTCTATTGTTAAACTAACAACATTCCAGTCCCCATTCTCCATTACTTATCTCAGGGTTTTAAAATTCAAATTCGTGAGTGCTATCATTTTTCCATCTTTCTCTATACAAACTTCATGAAAAAGAACCATTTTGCATTTGAATAGAAGCAAACACGTCCGGATATAAATGAATCTTTTGACAAATCTAAAAATATTTTCAGCATTTATAAACGACGCCTCATGGTGGTGACAGAATGCGAATGATGCTGCTCTGAGTAGCGGATCCAAGATCTTAGAAACGTCCCCACTTAATTCGCGCGTCAGAGGCCAGTTTTCAGTCAAGACAACCTAATAATTAATCCGAAATTGCGAATATACATCTAGGAAAAAGCATCTGACTTTCTGTAGAACTAGTATTATTCTTTTGTCCTAAACTTTCCACTTAACTTAAACTAAATCAAGAGTTACAAGGTGTAAACTTAACAAAAAAAGCTTACATGAAGAAAAACAACGACAAAACAGAGTATATACCAATACTTCAACAATAAACAGATCAAGTAAACACCACTTTTGGGCATTTCATTTACGCTCAAGTACTTGGGTAAAAAGGCCTTACCACTCAAAACGTTGGGAATTTTTTAAAATGACACTCACCAAAAAAGCCTAACATCAATTGACAATT